CTTCAGTGCGATAAGGGATGCGTTCGCAGTTTGCTCATCACGGAAATCAGCGAGATTCCCATGAGCGAGTGGCTCATCTTCAAGGAGTCCCAAATACGACTTTCCCGTAAAACATAACATCAATTTGTTACTGAACGTAACCTCTATAAAGTCGAAACATCCCAACCTCCCCCAACAAATGCTGGATGACTTCGTCGGCAACAAAAAAACCACATACGCACACCATTCAATCAGGCAACTTCAGCGCGAGACAAAAGTAGCAGAACAGCTCGGCCACACACGCCAAAAAGTACTCGCGCATTTCACGTCTGAACAGACAGGTTGTGCATCTCGCGTCTAAAGAGACAGAAACGACAAACTCCTTGCCGCAGGGAAAATCGCATCGCTCCCACATTTGAAGTATTCGCAGCTAGTTTGACGCAACTGGAGAACAGCAGCTCCGAGAAGCGCTGATAAACTGCAGGTACTTGGCTAAGGATAGAGTAATGAGCAACGCCATCNGACAGGGATAACTGGTTTAAAATGGTTTCCACAAGAGATGCCTTCGGAAGCCAAGCGTCGTGGAGTCATCCTTATAGCGTTGCTGCATTAGCAATATACACTACCCCTTCTTAAGTAGCTTAAGTGCAACTGATATCTCCTGCGATGACATCTGAAAGCAGCCAGCCTACAAACCATGCTATTGCTGCACATCGCTAATCTAAGTGCCACGATCTACTACCTTTATCTGCAAGCGTAACGATGCTCCAGAAGCAAGATATTTAAATTAGGTAAATACCCTACGCAGGTGGAAGGAGGGCTGCCCCCCCACCCATAGATAGAACAAACAGCAACTACACTACTCACGTGCCTATAAACGACGTCCACGTCCAACGAAAAGTTTCAACACAAACAAAGCTTAAGTATATTTACTAGAGCGGCAGAAATGGCGCTGCGGAGTTCTGTTTCAGTAGTTGCGACAGTAATTCCTCACCAACAACTCAGAGAGAGGAACAATAAGCTTATCATCCCAAAACAACCGCTGCGTCCCTTGCTCCATCCAGGCAAAGCTACACTTACACAATGCCAACAGGCTTCAGGGATTGCGACAGTAATTCCTCAACAAAGGTTCAGAGAGAGGAACAAAAAACAGTTTCATCCTTATCGTTGGCAGCTCCCAAAGTGCAATCGTTCGATAGATTGGTGTTAGGTGAAATGGGTCTAGCTGAACGCAGACGGGTACTCTGCAGTCCCCTTCGTATGCACCACGCCTGCATGGCTCTCAGCAGTTGT